AAATCTGAGCTGCTGGTTGTGGCGGCGGCGGCGGCAATTTCCGTTCCCTCAGTTTCGAAAGTCGTCTGGTCAAATTCATCAGGGTCGGGTACAAAGTAGCTCGTGATGGAAGTGTTCACAGAGCGAGGGTAGAACTAAAGAAAGAGGGGAGGAGGTGAAAGCAGGGAGGGAAAAGTGTGTGTGGGGGAGGGCGCTTTAAAGCAGGACTGTAGGGGACTCAGCGTATACGACTTTTATTACGGGCGATCAAAAGAACAGACACAGATGCAGTGGTCAAGTGCCCTTAAGATCGCCAAATGGAGCTACTCTGTCTATAGTATCGTTGAAAATATTCCAAAGTGGCATCGATGAAGTCAATTTTAAGGAAATATTTGTTGCTTTAGAGTCGGCCAAGATTGTCCACTTGCATTTAAGATTTCAGCGGGGTAGACTAATACCAACTAGTATAACTAATCAGAATGCCAAATACTAGCAGTTAGATGCCAGTATCTTGGAACTGCTAAAAGAACTGCCAAACATGTCATTAAATTGAGAGATAAAGAAAAAAGAGTAATCAGGACACCCTAGAACGAGTCCTTTGGCAGTATAGACGCGAGCGATAACCACTCAAAGGCACTTAATCTGCTTTCTGGGTAGCCGTACAAAATCTCAAAGAAATCCATGTAAGTTAAGAACTTGCGTCTCGGAAGGAAACGGCTGATTATTGCCGTCTAGAAACATAAGCATCGGGACATAAAGATTGCCGATAGGCCGGTATCCTGAGTTAGTTCGTGTACTAACAGACAGTGGACGTAAGAAATTGCCCCCTGATAAGGTTAGGTACTATTGGCAATAATTGAAAGTGTGGCAACAATAAAGTTGGCTGGCAACCGGTGGTAATGAGGGTTTTATAAGTGGGTCATGTCAGAGGAAAGAAAAAATAAATTCAAAAGCAGTGTATAAAAGCAGAAAATTATAGGAATCATTATTCAGATAACTTAATATTTAGCGCGCGATAATTAAAATAATAGAAAAAATAAAAATACAACCAGTAGGAAACAAGAACTGCGCAAAAGTACCCGCAAACTGGCTACACACCAATATCGACTCCATCTCGAAATTTAGAGATTAAAGTAAAACCATGAAAGATAGGCTTGTACCCTCCTTTTGTAAAAATTCATCATAACTTCTAATACATTGGGACAGGCATTATATTACGACAAGCCAAACAGCAACCGACGTCACTTGAAAACTTAAAATAAATTAGAAATTAACGAATAAACGAATAACCTAAATAATAAACCAAAAACTAAGAAAACCACGGTAAGCTAAAGATTTTCGTCTTGGGTAGGGTGCAGTAATACGCATAATTGCGCCTAATCAATTGCATATAGTAGGTATTTAAGTGTAGTTTTTTAAAGTTGTAGGGCAAATAATTTGTTCCTGAAAGTGTACATGAAAATTGGTGACTTACAATCAGATACAACGGTGGAAGAGCGTCGGACAGAGTGGCTACACACAAGCCATGCTCGCGCAGATCACTCCAAATACGCCGAAGAAAGAGCTGCATCGGCGCCTCCGCATTCTCATTCGTCTCGCCTGAGGAGGACACGTCAGGTATCAGAGTTTGAGCAGTCGTCTGCGAAAGGGTTGAGAACTCCTCCTCTAAATAGGCTAGGTACCGATTGATTTTTCGGGCAGTCAGTTCATAGGCAACCTGAACCGCTGGACGCAGTCCGGCCACACCGTCGTCAAGACAAAAGTGTCGGCCAGTGAGGTCGTCATAGCAGCAGGCTCCGCTTTGTGGTTTAACAACGAGGCAGACATTAAAGAGTAGGGTGTTCCTTTTGTATTGTGTGCCTTCTATGCGCTGTGGAAAGCCGACTATGAAGTGACCGAACTCTTCAATTGTTATTGGCTGGTGAGTGAGGTCGGCTCTCGGAATAACGGCATGGGCGATTTGCTTAAATTGATCCTGACAAACAGAACAGTTAAAGTGGTCAAAGTATTCAGAAAAATGCACACAACATAAACGCACTGAGGTCTGTCTGATACAAAGAAGCCGGAATTCGTTGAGTAGCACAAACTATTTTCCGAGACCGTCACAACGTCCAGATTTTATAATTCTCATAGCGAGTGCTTCGTAAACAGGAATATGCAGACGTGTTCAAACGTTGCAGTAATGAAGTCTGACGAGCCAAAAACAGTTGTCTGGCTCCTTCAAGACTCCAGGGGTGTAGCGGTACTGTAGGGAGTTTTATAAGGATTGATTCGGCCGGGCAAGCACTTGCCTCTCAAACGACTAGCTCCTAATGAGGGCGTGGTCCGAAAATCAGCAATGATGGCAAGAAATTCAACGAGGGTCACGATCTCGCGCGTGAGAAGGACAACGCTGAAAGCCAAACACTGCCTAACGTGCCGTAACCTAGTAAACAACAATAGTCCACTCCAAATATTCCATGCAGAGAGGAGCTCTCTATATCGACATGTGCATAAACTTAAAGAACGTTTCGTTTGATTATATATAAGGCATTCACCGACATGTCTGACTTTTCGGGGGGGGTGGGGACTGGCGTTTCACCTCCTGGTAGGGGGCCCTGAATAAGCGCTAACCCAGTTATGGATAAGATGGAAAATTTGCAGCTGACGAACAAAGACGAAGCCGACACAGCGAATTTAGTTCCGTCCACTTTATGCGGTAATCTCCAAAAACGGCACTGTGAATGTCATACAAATGTCAACACTTCTAAATTGAGTTCCAAATCCTTATAACAAACGCCTGACTTCGTTGCACGGACAAGGGTAAACGCTTTCAGCTGCCCTCGCTAAGTCGTTAAGAGCCAAAGCCAAGCTCAACATCCTAAAAGCATTGGCAGGTTCTTCTTGGGGC